AATGGTCGATCGACCCCAAATGGGGTCGCGACCCATAGGTTGAGAACCGCTGATTTAGTTGGTTAGTTGGTTCTGAAGGCCTGAAAATACTTTATCCTTGCTTTATGACCATGGAGATGTTGAAATGGCTGAAACTTTGAGGGCAGGTCATAAGTTTCTATTTTCCATGTTATTGTAAGTTTGAATGGCCACCGAACAAAGGTCAGTAAGCAAGGACTACCTGTAGTTCCAATATAAGTAATCTGAACAAGGTCTGTATATGTGGCTGCTAAGAGTCAAGACTGACTCATTTCTTTATTTCAGTGATTCATAAAGGCCACCCATCACATGACAATGATTCTGTGGGACATGCAAGGATTAAAAACACAGCTACCACTAAAAACTCACAACGTTTGAGGTAAATCAGTACATCTCAATGATAAAAAGCCATATCAGCAATAGAGCTTGTTTAACCTCCTGGCCCAAATGCCTAGGGAAACAGCCAGGTCTTCAGACTTGGGACTTGAAGGAACAAAATCAAAATCTTAATGTATAACCCTGAACAAACAGTGCAAGCAGAAAGAAAGAAAGAATGGATTTATATCATTCTTTTCTTTTTGTTATTCTAAATCATCTAGAAGCTAGTTTTGTAGAAATGACAATGGCAGATCAGTGACTAATCAATAATTCTGGTGGCCAATAATTTCTGATATGTTTGTGTGCAGGGGTCAGTATAGTACTTGGTATTCTGCCTGAGCTGACAATTCCTTACTAGCCCAGAATAGTTTTTTGTTAATAGCTACTACTGTATTTTATACCTATCAACCTCCGGTTTGAGTATCCAAATAAAGTCCAGGATTGAAGAGTGAAACTTGGCAATATCTTTGTTTAGAATGAGAGAAATGCAAATGCAGCAACTGTCTTGGACTTTGTCAACTCTTTTTGCCTTGGCTGTTTGAGACAAATGGGCATTAAGGAATTAAACATCAAATGAGATTAATTTCTCACAAACTCCTCAATATTTTTTACTTCTATAGTATATAGAGTTTATATGACTAGGAAAGCACAAGCATGGGGCAAGGAGAAGATTATATTATCACCAGGAAACCCCTCAGAAGATATATCCAGAAAAAAAATCTATTTTTCAGGTTAAATGCTTATTCTTTTACATCTTAAATTTGCAAATGACTGTATGTTTTTACATAAATATATGTATCAGTCTTAATATTGCTGTATGCATAAACAAATAGAACTGGTCAATATTCTATACTGCCTACTTATTGTTATCCATTTGAATAAAAAGTAGAAAACAGAGTTCGTTGATTTTGGTGAAATTAATGTAATAATGCATTTTATTTTTCCTTCTTAATTGTCACCATTGGGAGTCATATCAGTGAGCCAGTTTATCAGCAATCCATGGAGAAGCCATAGAAAGTGGTCCCGGATGACAAATATTAGAAAGGTCATACAATTTTGAACTTTGTGACCCTTGTAAATTTGAAACTGAAAAAGAAATAATAAATTTTGTTTTCTATATCCAATTAATTTTAAGATCAGATGATCTAGATTAAATATATTGCAATAATGAATTCTGTATTAGAGTAAGTTTAGTATGTAAATCTGCCAAATGTTGGCAACAGCATATACTTAAAATGGAAAGGCCTTAAGAATAGTTTTAATGCCCAGTTGTTGTTCAACTTTTTCCACATGAAAATGAGATGAGCAACAGCTGGCTATTAGAACCATGTGAAATAAAGACTGGTAGAATTTTTTTAAAAAATAATTTATTTAGGGGACTGCCATTTCTTCCCAAATTTCTAGGAGGCATTGTGATAAGTCCAGACATACCACTTGGGAAAGAAAACAGGGTTTTTTTTAAAAATAAAAATCTTTGAATAAAAAGACTTGGAATTGAGCCCTAATATATACAATGTAGTATATTTTCCATTTATTTAGCCTAGTATTAAATTTTAAAAGCAAAAGGTCTAACAACAGTGGCTTGAGTAAAGATAGGTTGAGAAGTATAGTTGTGTTAAATTCTTTACAGAAGTAGTATATTTGGTTGGTTTCTAAGCTGAGAATGATTTTTTTTTCTTTTAGAAACATCTTTGTAGAAGTAAGTGTTGGGCTCTTTGTATTTATGTTTACAGGCAATAACAGAGAACTTTATCTTTCATTGTGTATCTGGTATAAAATAGTCAGTTTAACTGTTTAATTGATTCCTATAACCTGCATAAACAAACTAAAAATTCATCCAGAAATGTTAATCTGGAAGACTTGTACTCAGCACACTTAGTTCAGGTTTGAGAATCTATTTTATAACATTGAGTTTTAGGTTGTTTAAACATTGGATACTGGCATGCTGTTAATGGCAGAAGGGAAGCTGATAATTTCATGTCTAGAAAAATATGAAGCAAAGTTTAAATTCAGCTCGTTCTTTGCAAGACCTGAAACTTAAATTAAAGACAAAACTAATAAAAAATTTAGATGAAGTGTAATTCTGTTAGAATTAACTGAGCTAAAGGTAATAAAATATATGAGTTCTCTGTAACTTATTTTCAGAAGCAAAGCTTTCAAAATAATGTCTGTCAACATGAAAATAGCAATACTTCAAGGCCTCATAAACTGTGAAGTGTGTCACTCTGGGAACACTTGACTCTTGCAATGGGGTAAAATGTTACAACACCATGGCGCCTGACATTTTAGGTTAGACAGTTAACTTTTACTGCCTTTTCACAAGGCCATCATCTTCTTTTCTCTCAACATTTTATTTTTTTCCCAGTTAGAAGTTGTGATTAAATGAAAATCAAAGATTTTTCCACACGAAACATAGCTTCCATGTGTTTAATATGTTTCTATTAATTTTGCTATTTTTTGCAACTTAGTATTTGTTGATTTTTGCATGCTAACTTGAACATCTGTGATTGGTGCAATATGAAGTCTTTATGTATTTTGGAAATGTACTGTGGTATAACCTGATGCTCTTCATTCTGAAAAGAAATACTTGTAATGGAGTTTGCATATAGTTAAAGAATGTAACAATTTGTCTCAATAAATGTCACATTAAGTAGACAGGTTTCTGCTGATGCTTCTTTCAGTAAGAAGCTTTTTGCTCTAAGCCTACAGGTTTGTATAGCCTCTTAGAATATCTTATCAGTGTCCAATATTAACATATAGTTCATTGTTTATGTCAACATAATGTGAAATGTCAAACTTCAGTGGGCCAAATATTCATTAACAGATCCTGGTTTATTAGAATCTGAAAGTGGTGGCTGACATCTAGTATTTAGGCTGCCGTTCTAGTCCCAAAACTGTTCAACATCTCCACAAAACTACTTGGGGAGACCATTTGGAGCTTAAGAGATTGTTCCATTAATATCAGCCAAACTAAACATGCTGTGCCTCTTGCCTTAATTTGAAAAACACAAAGAGTTCAGAAGCAGCCCAGAACTGTCTATCTGCTTTCCCTGGGAGAGGGTGAATTTATACAGAACAGACTAATTTATCATTTCTCTAGAATTATATTTTCTCACAATGAACACCGTTTTCTTGTCTGGATTTTTTTAGTTGTATAACTCTCCAGTCCATTACTGACTGCAAACAGGCATTTAGTGAAGTCACAGCATAAGATGACATAGAGAAATAGATCTTGGTGTCATTAGTATACAAATAGTGCCCAGCTCCTCCAGTGCTTTTAAGTAGCTATGGAAAAACTTTGGATTAAATAGGGTCCCAAGAGACGCCACAAAATACAGTAGTTTCACTATTTTAAGAATCACTTCCTTTAAACAAGGAAATCTCCTGTTTTATATAAAGTGTGACTAGAAGTTATAAACCAGATTGGGACAGGTCCAGATGCCAATTGTCCATTCCTTACAGTTTGTCCATATCCATGGATACTGTATCTTAAACTAAAATTGATCCTAGCTATATAAGAGGAAGTTTAGATACCTCTAGATACCCTCATAGTTGAATTAAAGGTGCAGAGATTTTATTCCCCCCCCAAAAAATTGTAATTTGTAAGCATTACAACATGCTTCTGAGAGTTCTATAGTAAAATCATTTATTGTTTCAGTGACCATTCAAAGTTGCAGCAGTGCTGAAAAAGAGGCATACAACTGTCCCTCAAAGTTGCGGGTATCACAATGTCCCCACAGTTATGTGGTCACAATTCTTGCACTTGGTAACTGGCACGCATTTATGATAGTTGCAGTGTCCAACTGTTAAGTTGCAGTGTCCAACATTTGTGATCTTCATAGTTGGCTTCCAGAAGCAAAGTCAATTGGGAAGCCAGTTGCAAGTTGTAGACATATGACGACATGCTTAATCACCATGGGGGATTTGCTTAATGACCATAACTGGAACTGACAAAGTGGTGTAGGTTGGACACATTTTATGTTATGATCATGTCACTTAGCAATGAGCTGGCAGTCCCAATTGCAGTCAGTACATGAGGACTATCTGTATACATAAAAGAAGAGATGAAGGATAAGTCAATCCTTTTATAATCCAAGATAAAATGGAAGGGATTAATCCATGATATTTCTCAAACCTTAGCAATTGTGGATCAATAAATAATCTGCTTATGGTGCTTCATACCTTACACCTAAAATAAAAAGATGTTATACCTACAACTTATATTTCTGAACTTATTTTGAAATGGACAGGCGATTCGGTTGCCTCTATAAAGTGTTAATATGTTGATTATATGTTGTTAATGCCTCTTGAGTTATGAGTTAGGGCAGTATAGATATGTTGAAATAAACTAATTAACTAATTAATCTTTAATGTGGCAGAGCTATTGTGACCAAATCTAGTTTGATTTCAAACAGATTCAGCTTCTTAATAACAGTAGCAGTAGCTTGAAACTGTTGTAGAATTGCAGTATTTTTCCACTGTAAAACAGTAGCTTGAAACATGGAAATATTAATAGGTAATATGCATGACAGCCATATACAGATGTTTAAAATTTGCTATCTGGGAAACAACCAATGTGACATAATATTAATTATTCTTTGCAGGCAAGGTGGTTCTGGGAAGCTTACTTTCAATCAATGAAAGCTATTGCTATGGCAACTCTTAAGATTATCAATGACCGGATCTATCCATATGCTGCCACATCATATGAAGAATGGAATGATCCCCCAGAAATTGTAAGTGAGCTTATTTATTTATTAAATTTAATATGTTGAATCTCTTTATAACAAACACTTCTAGAATAAGTATTTTGTTTTTTATATTATATCGTTCAGCATAAAAAATATGAATTAATCTTGAATTGAGCTTTAGTTTCCTAAAGGTTAGTGTATTATATCTTGTTATGTTCCTCTTTCCCTGACTTAAAATTTTAATTGTGTTTTTGTTGTTGTAGTTGTTATTGTATAGAGGCATGACAGAAGATTAGATTCCTGAAAGCAAACTCGGTTTGCCTAGAAATACATGCCTACTGTACAATATGTATTGTCATCTGCAGGAAATCAACATTCCTCTTTTAAAAATAGGTTTTCAAACAAGCAAACTATAGTACTCTAAGAAATCTGAACAATGTATTTGGAGTTGGGCTTCTAAAATGGAGGTTAGGAAATCTTTTTGCATTCAGGCATTTTAAATAAGTAATGTTGAGAATGCAAAGCTGCATTTATGTAATCTGCTTTTATAGTCTGTTATCTGACAATTCAAGTCCATTGGCATTTCTCGACCATTGATAATTCTACTGCTGTTCCCTAGTTGGTCTGCAAAAGTAAATACAATGTCACATTTTCAATATGAAGTTTGAACTAGCTAACTTAGCAGACACTATCTGGATTCTAGGTGCCTTTTTTTCTCTTCAAAAACTGCTCTTCCATGCCTTCATCTGAAAAATCCTTTAATATACTGAGCAGCTAAGGTAGAATGAGAAAGAATTGCAGTGGAGATAATGAGATCATGAAACACAGCATATATTTTAAATAAAAATGTTTCATTCCATTGATCCTTTGATAGTTAGGGTTGTGTCTAGTATTAAAATGGTAGGATTAATGTTGGTATATTTTTATTCTCTCAATATATAGAGAGAAAGAAAGAGAGAAAGTGAGTGTAAAATTTATCAAATCAGGACAATGTAATCATTTGTCATTCCTCAGATACATAAAGTAACCAGTTTTTATTTAGCTGTAATTTATCTAGAACAATAGAAACAATATTATTTATATGTGTTTTAGCTAATAATCAGTATCCTGGTAGATTAGAGGAGAATGATGAAAAAAGCTAAAGATCGGTTATATTTCTGAAAATAATTGCACAGTTCAACTAATTTTACACAAATTTAGAATTAGTAGTATTACTGTTAAAAATCAGAACTTTTTAAACACAAACGTTCAGGATCCAATCTGCGTTGGTCACCAAGACCAAACGTTTATTCTTTCAAACCTTTGGGCTTGGAACGTCTGGAGAGAGGGAGAAGTTCCCTGAGGACTTGGTCCCTGACAACTGAGAAGTTTAACATTCCGGAGAGAGAGAAGTTCCTTGGGGAAGGGCTCTAGCACCAGCCCGAAAGCTTGGAAGCATAAACTTTCAGTCCCGGTGACCGACTCAGACTGGATCCTGCAGCATTTTCCTTGGACACATATATTTGCCTTCATTCACGAGATAAACTTGCCTTGATAAGAGGATCCTAGATCTTCCTTCACATATAGGTCATCATGTTATTAAAAATTGAGACATCTTTTAGTACAGTGGTTCTCAACCTTTTTAATGCCGCGACCCCAACCGGTCATACGTTGAGGACTAAACCAGTCGTAAGTCGAGGACTACCCAACCGGTCGTAAGTCGAGGACTTTCCCTGCCCGGGAGCACTGCGCATGCATGGCTCCGCCCCCTGCGCCGGCTGAGGCGTAGCTGGCAAGCGGCAGAGACGGAGCAGGCCGACCACCAGCTGGCCCAGCCCAAGGGAGGTAAGGCACCCGCCGGAAAAGGGAAAAAAATGGCGGACAAAAAAAATGGCGGACAGCCTTGCTTGGCGACCCCCGTGAAATGGTCGATCGACCCCAAATGGGGTCCCGACCCACAGGTTGAGAACCACTGTTTTAGTAGTTGTAGTTGGTCAGACTGAGATTGTGAAGCATTGCTTCTTTTCAACATTGGCAAAAGAATTCTAAAACAATGCAGGTGAAAGTGATATAAAATATTCATATGGGATGGATTGTACTTCTACATGTTATAATAATAATAAAGTTGGAAGGGACCTTGGAGGTCACCTAGTCCAACCCCCTCCTCAGGCTGGAAACCCTATACCATTTCAGACAAATGGCTGTCCAGTCTCCTCTTAAAAACTTCCAGTGTTGGAGCATTCACAGCTTCTGGAGGCAGGTTGTTCCACTGGTTAATTGTTCTAACTGTCAGGAAGTTTCTCCTTAGTTCTAGGTAGCTTCTCTCCTTGATTAGTTTCCACCCGTTGCTTCGTGTCCTGCCTTCAGGTGCTTTGGAGAATAAACAGCATAGTCAATAATTAAACAATGTTTAGGGATTACTGTCTGTTAAAATTAAGGGAATACCTACACTTGTCAGTTTATTTCATTCTTAGGAAATTTTCTATTACGAGCTAACATACAGAATGTGTAATTCAATGTTATGGATAATTTTGAGTTTTAATTGGTAGCATACATTTTAGTCTATGCAGCACCATTTAATAATCACCTGGAGAATCACTGCTTTTAATAGATTTACATTTGTAGATTGTTGTCATAAAGCAAACTGCTGGAAGACAGAAAAATGAACCCCTGCTAAATAAAAATATACTAAATTGTATAAAATTGAATTGTGTCAAGTATTGGAGTATAGCAGAGAATGATGGAAGTACAAATTAACATGGTTTTGTTACTGGAGTTAGACTGGTCTGTGTTTATGAGCCTTCTTGGTGAGACAGAGTCCACAGGTAAATACTTCATAAGAAGGAGAATCAGATTATAAATGAATGAATGAATGAATGAATGAATAAAAATAAAGGTAAATTAATTTTTGGGTGGTCCTGTATTCATCTTCTGTATTCTGCTGTAGCCAGAGGATTTGTCCATTTGGGTTTCCCCCTCCTTCTGTGTTTCATTATACCAGTCACTGCACTTTGTGTTGCTTGCAATCATATTTAAGGACAAATGAAACATCTTTAATATACTGACTTTTTTCCTATGAAATAGTTTTTCCTTGCAAAACTGCTTGAACTCTTTTCTAGCCATAAGGGAGCTTTTGTGTGTGTGTGTCTGTTGTTGTTGTTGAGTTAAGTTTAATGTTAAGAAAGCATTTTATTTCAGTATATCAGCTCAAACATTTGAAGTATTCAGTTATTCTTACAACTTTCCCACTTAAGTAGGTTGTATGATTACTCTTTTCATGTTGGTAGATCAGACCTGAAATTCAGTGTTCGAGTAGCTCATATGTTTGATTTTTGAAGTACTATTACATTGAATTTAGATAAGCCCTGTATAAAGTTGAGACTAATAGCAGTTAAGATAAAAATGAGAATTAAAAATGTCAGTCTCATCACAACCTAGTAAAATCTATTTTTGACAGCTAAATATAGAAATAAAAAAATTAAGAGGGCTGTACTTACGTTACTTGAGAACCAGTTTGATATAGTGGTTAAGGCATCAAACTATAAATAGGAAGACTGAGTTCTAGTATTGCCTCAGGCACAAGGCCAGCTGGGTGACCCTGTGCCAGTCATTTTCTCTCAGCCCCAGCAAGGAAGCAATGTCAAACCACTTCTGAAAAACCTTGCAAGAAAGCTGTAGAAACCTCTCTGAGAATTGGACATGATTAAATGGAAAAAAAAAACCAAACCCACCATTCATTCAGTGCCATTGTAACTTGCCTAAGTGAGAAATGTGATTCTTGTTCAGTTTGGATGTGGTTACATTATTTTTTCAGATGTTTTTCCAGATACACAAATTTTTAGATCTTTCAAAATGTATATATCAGTGTATAATACTTGCTAGACTCAAATTAGTGATAGGTTATGCTTTAGAGGAGGGGTGTCAAACTCAATTTCACTGAGGGCTGCGTCAGCATTGCGGTTGCCCTCGGGGGGTCGGGTGGGTGTGGCCACAGTGGATGTGGCCTACTGGGTGGGCATGGATGGAGTGGGTGTGGCCAGCTCTACATCGTTCGCGTCAAGGGTGCCTGTGGGGACCTGGGCAGGAGTGGGAGAGATCTGAGGGTCTCTGGCAGAAGGGGGTGGGACCAGGGCAAGTGCCAAGGCATGGTCCACTGGAGGAGCCTCACTGTTCCTCTCAGGCCATGCGGAGGGGGAGCTGGATGGTGGCATGGGCTGCCCGGAGCCTTGGGCAGCAGAGGTCAAACGCCCAGCCTGGCCCTCGAGCACCTGCAGCATCAAGCCCAGCCCCACTTCCCCAAGGGGGCGCCCAGCTGCACGTACCTCCTCCTCAAGGCTGCTGCTGCTGTGCTTGCTCTCCTTAGCCAGGTTGCTCCTGATGGGTACGAGGGCAAAGTCAGAGGGAGGCCCATTCCCTCTCCATGGGAGGAGACCCAGCTTTGTATCCAAAGCTTCCTTAGCAATAGGATGGGAGACCCCCAGGATAGACCAGGAGGAGGGGGCAAGGGGATGGTGAAAGGGCAGCAGGGCAGGACTAAGGCAGGACTTCCCTCAGACCCTCCCTTTCCTTCTTTCCTTTCTTCCTTCCTAAGTACAGAGTGGTGGGAAAATATTTGAGATGAGGGAGGGAGAAAAACAGGCAAGAAACGCAGCTGGGGAGGTGTCACCCTTCGTGAGGAATGAAAAAATGCACCATTGCCTGGAAGTGGCCAGCACATGATACTCACCTACTTCACATATCTGGCTTGGTGGGCTCTGGGGGAAGGGATGCCATGAGCAGTGTGAGAGTCAACATTATCTGCGCAATGCTGCCCAGCCCCCAGCCTTCCCAGTTTCGGCAGGCAGTGGGGCGCTCTCCTCACAGTGCTGAGAAGTTGAGCCAGGCGGTGCGAAGCTCGCCAGCTTTGCACCTTGCTGCCTGCTGAAACTGTGCAGGCTGGGGGCATTGCACTTCTGATCAGATTCACGCCACCCGGCTTAGCTCTTGGCGCTGTGAGGCGAGCGCCCCGCTGCCTGCTGAAACCAGGCAGGGCTGCCTCGCGTTTCTTTTTGGATTTGCGCCGCTCG